CAGCACTTTACTATACAATGAGTTCATTAACTAGTATTGGTTTTGGTAATGTTGCTGCAAATAGTGATAATGAAAAAATTTTTACTTGTGTTATGATGCTTATTGGTTCATTATTATATGCAACTATATTTGGTAATGTCACAACAATATTTACACAAATGTATTCAGCTACTGCTCGATATCATGAAATGTTAAGTAGGTATGTAATTATTCAAAAGAAAAATATATTCTTGAAATTAATTCATTTATTATTATTTGAATAAATATGCTTTTTTTTTTTCTTCTTCTTCTTCTTGTCTTCAGTATTCGAGAGTTTATGCGTTTACATGGTATGCCTAATCAATTAAATGAACGTATTATGGATTATGTTGTATCAACATGGGCTATGACAAAAGGTATTGATGCAACAAAAGTATTAAATTATTGTCCAAAAGATATGCGTGCCGATATATGTGTACATATGAATCGAAGTGTATTTAATGAACATCCAGCATTTCGTTTAGCTAGTGATGGTTGTTTACGTGCATTAGCTGTTCATTTTCATATAAATCATTCTGCACCAGGTGATATGTTATATCATTGTGGTGAAAGTCTTGATATGTTATGTTTTATTGTATCGGGTTCATTAGAAGTAATACAAGATGATGAAGTTTTAGCTATACTTAGTAAGTTTTGATTTCTTTTTTTTCTTCTATAATTGAAAAAAATTTTTGTTATCCTAGGTACAAATGATGTATTTGGTGATGATTTTTGGAGTAAAAATCGAGATAATATTGGTCAATCAGCAGCTAATGTTCGTGCATTAACTTATTGTAATTTACATCAAATACGACGAGAACGTTTACTTGAAGTATTAGATTTTTATCATCCATTTAGTGTTTCATTTGCTCGAAATATGGTGCTTACATATAATTTAAGACATCGTGTATGTTTATATATAACTATATCAATTTGTTTTTTTTTTTTTGAATATTATTCTTATTAATATATTCAGGTTGTATTTCGTAAAATAGCTGATGTTAAACGTGAACGTGAATTAGCTGAAACAAGAAAAAATGAAGGTTTAGATCAAATTAGTTCTGATCATCCTGTACGAAAATTAATATCAAAATTTCGTAAAATTTCACAAGAAAATCGTTCAAATTCACAAAATAATCCAAATTCAAATTTATCATCAATAACATCGAATAATTCGATACAACAACAACAACAACAACAATTATCAACATTACCTTCTATACCAGAAACAGTTATACAACCAGCTAGTGCAGAACCATTAGATTCTTTATCAACAACAAATACAGTACCATCAACATCATCTCTTTTACATTTACAATTACCTATATCATCAACTAATAAACAAAGAGATAAATTAGAAACAATATCTGAACGTATTGAAACACAAGATTCTCAAACATCACAAATAACATCTGTTAATCAAAGTCCACCATTACAACGACCACCAAAATCAAGTAAATGGAAATGGTTAATGTCTGGTTCAACTGAACCTAATAATAATAATAATAATAATAATAATAATAATAATAATTCATCATCAAAACCACTTCTTTCAAATACTAAACCATCAATAACACAACAAAAAATAATAAATCCATTTGATACAAAACTATCTGATGATGAAGAATCAACAAAAATATCAGATAATCATGAACGTAAACAATCTATTCCACTTAGTTTATTTATACCACGATCAGCTCAACATACAAAAACAGTCGAAGAAGGAACAAATGATGAAGTAAATTATTCAAAGAATTTATAAATTAAATTCTATATTTTTGATTTTTAAATTTTAGAAACCATTAGATGAATCTCATTCAGATATAAATTTAGCTTTTTCAGCACATCGTAGTGTATCATCACAATTTGGTGATCATCAATTATTATCATCATTAATTGAAATAAAAAATGATTTAAGTACTGAAGTACGAGCATTAACTAAACGTATGTCACATATTGATGAACAGATTAGTCAGATTTTTAATTTTCTTTCACCAATCAATAATAATAATAATAATAATAATAATAATACATCAACGATGACAAATAATTTGTCATCAAATCCAAAACTATCTCCATCATCACCACCAATACAAACAATAATTCCATTATCATCTCCAGTAACACCATTGTTACCATTAACTACAGCAGTATCATCTGAAACAAATCCAACTTCTATTTCGATTTCTTCATTATTTGATGCACCTTCATTCTATTCAGATTTAAATGCTAAAATGTCACTTTTTGATGATAATCGATCATTACCAACAACATCAGATATACATGATCTTCCTCGACAATCACGAGGAAATGAACAACTTATTTCAACATCACCAATACATCAAATAAGTAGTCATGATACACCAACACTTTCAATTCCACCACCACCATCAATTTATAATCGTTCATCGAGTTCATCGGTAATTAGTTTAGGTGCATCAACAACATCTCGTAGTTCAATATCGAATAAAATAGCACCGGCACCAGCACCACCATCACCTATTAGTTCAAAACATCCATTAACAACAACATTTCAACCTATATCAAATACACGTTATAATCCAGGTCGTTCACCTAAACCAAAAACTCGTTCACATCATCATAGTCGTACTACTATTAAACATCAACGACAGTCAAGTCCTGAAAAATCAACAATTATTGAACTTGAACCATCAACACAAGAAAATCTATCGAATAAAAATGTTCCACTTCTATCAACACCTAGTAAAACAACATCAACAACAAAATCAAGTAGTAATGTTTTTCGTCGTTTTATAACAAGTGGTGGTAATACAGAAAAAACAACAACGACATCATCATCACCATCAACACTTCTCTATGTACCAACAAGTGATGATGAACATCCAATGAGTCCTGCTAGTTCAGGTAATGATGATGATGATTATCGATTATTAACATCAACGTCTAGTAAATTACATCATCAAACACCTCTATAATAATATTATAAAAAAAAGAATAAAAGCATTATAATTCTTCTTATTTTCATATAGGTGAATTGATGGATTTTTTTGTGATAAAAAGTTCCTCCTCCCTCTTTCTTTTTTTCTATTTCAATTTTGTACATGCTCACCGGTGCATATTTTTCTGTATTTTTGTTTTTTCTTTATATGTGTGTATGTGTTAACTAGTCAGACAATTATGACTACTTTCTTTCTTTCTTTTTTTTTGTTTTGTTTTGTTTTTCTTTTCCTATTGTTCTTTCCTATTCACACATGTCTCAGATTTTCTATAATTACTGATGCTTTTTTTTTGTCGATGACACTAGTTTATTTTTTTTTTTTTTGTTTTGGAAATAAAAAAGTTAAAAAATATTAATGCATTCAGTGGAAGAGAAAAATATGTTTTGTTTTGTTTTTCTTTTGTTGTGAATGAATTGAAGATTTTTTTTGGTTTTCTTCATTTAAAATTATATATCTGAATGAAAGTATGCCATATAATTTTTCAAATTAAAAAATTTGAACGTAATAATCATGCAATAGTTGCCTCTCTCAAACTTAGAATATGTAAGATTAAAGGCGAAACAATGTGTGTTAGTTAAGATCAATTAGTCCGACAGTCATATTTCAGAAAAATGTTTAATATCAATCAATAGAAAAATCTACTATGAAAAATGCTTGTCAGTGTTTACGTGCAAAATAGTTGTATGAACCAATAGTATTTCATTGTCGAGTTTTTTTTTTTTTTTCTAAAGATTTACTTTTTTTGTATAAATTGATGATAGACTAATGAGTGAATCTTTTTATAACTATTTTTGATTCAATTCGTGAAATAATTGATAGATATATTGATTGTAATTTGTATTTAGTTTAATAAATGTTTTAAAAACCTTGACAAGTGTATTCCCTCTCGGACAAAAAAAAATTGCCTTTTTCTATTTCATTTTTGCATCACTTAATGCGTTGTTATAAAAAAAAACAAAATATACCACAAGATACAGCGTGAAGAGGACTACAATTTATAAAGTAAATCTTATTTTAATTTTGTACTTTTTGTTTTCAAAGAAGACAAAATTATGTGGGACCAATTTTTGACGCTGCGACAAAATCATTTTTTTTTCTATGCGAACGAGAAATTCCTTTTTTCTTATTTCATCTATTTATCAACTAATATGTTTTTGTAAAAAAGAAATAAAATATACCACAAGATGCAGCGTGCAAAGCTCTACAATTTACGTAGAACAGTTTATTGAAATAAGAAGAAAGGAATTTCTCATTGGTGTAGAAAAATAATCCTCTCGCAGCACCGAAAATTGGTCGCACAGAATTTTGCGTTTTTTGAAAACGAAAAGTACACAATTGAAATAAGCTTTACTTTGTAGATTGTAGAGCTTTTCATGCTGCATCTTGTGGTATATTTTGTTTTTTTTTTATAACAACGGATTAAGTGATGCGAAAATGAAAGGCAATTTTTTTGTCCGTGGGGAATTTGAAATGGTTTTGAATAAAACAAAAAAAGCTTTCTTTTTTTTAAAATATACATTAATTATTTCTAAGACTGCATTATGCTTATACTTTTTAACATTAAATGTTTTGTCTAGCACAAAAAAAAAAAGAAAGAATAATGTTGATCTTTCTTTATAATGAAAATAGCAACGACAACAAATTGTATACAAAATGAAAGATAATACATTATAAATGTATATAATAAAACAATAACAAATGGCTGATTTCTAATAGTAAATGTTCTGTACAGTAGGTTTTTTTTTACCTATTCTTATCCTTTTTGTTTTAATTGAAAAGAAAGTATTAATGTCTTTCGATCGTATGTATTTGAATAAAATATATGAGTAAAAAGAATACTATATGGACAAATGCAAAATGACAAGACACACAAAAAGCAGCGATAAACTTTTTTTTTTTTATGAATTGTTAATATGAATAAATTATCAAATTTTTTTATGCAGTTGTTTGATTCTATAATAATAAAGGTAATAAGACAATGTATGATTTTCTTAATCTATTTTAAAAACTTACAGAATCAGAATCAATATTATTGATTGAATGTATTGGATCACCAACTGAAGAATTTTCCGTTCGATCAATTGTTACCTAATTAAAAGTAAAAAAACAAAATTTACGAAAAGAAAAACTAAATGAAATATTCTCATACATTTTTTGAATCTGATGAACGATTCTTTTTCGTATTTTTTTCAGTATTAATTTTTATTTTTTCATATGTATCAAGTTTTGAAGCTACATTATCAATCTAAATGAATTTAATTTCTTAAATTGAATTTAAATTTTTCAATTTTATTTTTATACTTTATTTAAAACAAATCCAACTGATGCTTCCATTGAATCAAGTCGTTTAGATAAATCATTATATTCTTCAATTGATACTTCATGCGCTTGTAAACGTTTTGTTGATACTGTACTTGCTTTTCTTCTAACATCTTCATTATTTTTTAGATTATCTATTGGTATACTAAATAAAAATAAAAGATTCTAATTTATGATGAATTTTTCTTCGTTTTCTTTTTACTTATTTTTTGACATATTTAATTCATCGATTTCTCTAATAATAGCATCATTTTGTCTTAATAAATCATTACTTAATGCACGTTGTTCATTTTCATCTAAAACTCGATCACCATTAAAATCATATTTAGCAAATATTGTTTCAATTTCTTCTTCAGCATAACCACGTGATTTCATTTCTGCACGCCATTCATCAAATTCCAAAAGTTTATCACGATTAAGATCAGCTAATGATAATGCTTTACGAATATCAGCTATACGATCACGTTTAACTGTTAAACGTTCACGCATTTTAGCATAACCTCGTTTAACAAAATCACTTAATTCAAATTCATTTTTTTTATTTCGTAATTCTGTTTTAACTTCAACATATGTATCATTAATTATAGCCAAAAACATATTTAATAAAACGAAAAATACAAAAAATACATATGTTAAAAAGAATAATGGTCCTAATAAAAAGAAAATATACATTAAATATTATGAAAAAAAAAAAAAAATTATTTTTTAATCTTACCAAGTACACGATGAGCTTGTTGAAGTGATTGAAAATCAAAAATACCCAAAATAATTAAAAATAATGTATACCTAAAAAAAAAAAATCAAATGTACAATAAATATATATCAATTAAGTTTTCAATTGATTTACACTGAATATTGAAATGCTCGAAAACTTTCAACTTGAATGCCAAATGTTAAATAACCAAGTTGAGCATATGCAAAAAATATAATAAAAAACATAATAGCAAAACCAGATATATCACGTGCACATTTTGCTAATGTTTCACTTAATTGTGTCATTGTTTTATTAAAACTAATATATTTAAAAACTTTAATCCAAGCCAAGAAAATAGTTATACTTATAATAATATTAAATTGATATTGCCAATAACATAAAAATGTAAAATCATTATATTTATCAATATCATTTTGTAATAATGTATCAAGTAATGAATCAACTTGTACTTGACGATATATATTAAATGCAATACAAACATAAGATAAAATAATAATTACAATATCCAAACAATTCATAATTGATTTAAAATATTTAAATTTTAAATTACGAATCTTTCAAAATGAAAAAAAAATAAAATTTATTTTAATAAAAAAAAAATTGACTACGAAAAAAAAAACAAAAATCGTTACTTCTAAAATTTCTTCAATTGTATAATAAATAATAAATAAAATAAAAAGTATTTCACAACCTAAGACAAAATAATCAAATGTATGAACATAACGTATTAATTTAACAGCACGAAATATTGATGATGTTATTAAACCACCAACAGCTGGAAATTCAAAAATAAGTCTATTATAATAATCAATCATATTCATATATATATTATTTTTGAAATAGAAAACCTAATTTTTAACTTACTGTACTTGACAAAATAAATTTAAATTAGCATTATAAACTGTAAAATCTACTAAAATTGCTCGAGTACCACGTGTTATCCAAAGACTAAATCATAATAAATATTAAAAAAAAAAAAAAATCTACTATCTTACTTAGCTTTTAATTCTTCAATATCTTTTATAAATTTATCTTGTGTTGAACCAAATGTTTTAATATAACCACCTTGATCATAAACACTAACTTGTCCTGTTGTAGTTAATCCAAACCATGACAATGATGGTGTATATTTAAATCTAAATAGAACAATTATTATTTTGTTATTATTTATATAAAATAAAGTAAAATCTTACGCTTCATAAGTACAATTTTCAAGATCCAAATTTTCACATGGTCCAAATGTTACTTTATCTTCATAGATTGGTGCATAAGAATTGTAACAAAATCTAATTTCTTCCTTAAAATCATCAGCAACAAGACAAGAATTATTTCGAACTTTTTTTTGACGCATTTGAACAGCACCTAATAAACGATTTTCATGTAGTATATAACCATAATCACTGACATTGTATTTGTTATACCATTGTTCAGTAAAAAAACCAGAAGGAGCAACGTCATTCATGTACTATTTGAAAATATAATTTATAAAAGATCGAATATTTTTCTCTTTTTTTTTGTTGTTTACCTGCCAAAAATCTTCCATACTATCAAGATGTACGAATGATGGACCTGTTTTATTATTTGATTCATCAGTTAAGTGTGGATCAATGAATACGCTTTGTAATGCTTGAGTCAATATCAACATATTAGTGCTTACCATACCATATACGACTAAAAAAAAACCCATCATGACAAATAAAAAAAATTTTATTTGAAATCTTCTTTTCTTTTTTACCGATCGATAAAACTGTGAGGAAAACCATATAAACAATAAGTTCACGAATTGTTGTTCGAACATATCTATTCTTATGTTTTTTACGATCAATTCTTTCTGTTTGTTGTGTTGCCCAAAGCTCTATGATATCACAAATAATATTTTTTTTATTAAAAAAAAACAACACAAGTGAAGTAAAACAAAAACTTACTTCGAATTAATAGTAAAGCTTTTTTACATTGATTTTCTTGAAGTTGATTTTGTCTGATCGATTGTTTTTGTTGTTCGCCTTGACTAATTGGTACTCCATCAACATACAATGTACCATCAATATACAATTCACTTTCCATGGCACCTGGTGCCTCATCAGTATAGACCGGCGGGGGTGATGATTGTTTTTTTTGGTGTTCATAGGACATGATTATCAATGCTAACCGTCGCTTATTTTCTCTTCTAGACAAATAACTATATGAGAATAAAACTATGTATACTTTTCTCGATTACAAAAGTAAAGAGACTGAAAAAAAAAAGAAACAAGAAAAACTATAATTTTCTAACTATGTCATTTCTTTCTTTTTTTTTTGGTGTGTGTGTGCTTTGTGTGTTTCAATAGGATGGAAAATAAAATTAAACTTAAAAGACAAAAAAAAATTAAGCAAATTGTTATGAGAACATGGAAAATGAAGAAAAATCTAGAAGCATACCTCAGAAAAAGAAGAAAAATAGCACTATTTTTTCTTTAACAAAAACTACTTTGAAGTTTTTTTTGTTTTTTAAGAAAAAAAAAATCATCATTTAATCGACATCTTGATGAAAGAAAATAAAATTAACAATTGTCAGAAAAATTGCGCACTTTCTTTATTTTTATTACCAGAAATGTATGATGATAGAGTACAAAGAGAAAAAAAGAAATTATTTGAATTTAATAAAATTTAGATAAAGAAAAGCAGAAAAAAAAAGTCAAGACAAAATGAAAGTTCAGAGAGATATATACGTCAAAAAATAATTCCAAGTCCTTCAATAGATCGTGACCAACGAATAATAAGATATTCATAAGATTTTAATTCAATATCTTGTGTCATTGAAAGTAATGTATTTTTTTCATATTTGCTGTCAGGATTTTCCTTATTAGTTAAAATAACTTCAACTGCATCTGTTTTTCCTTCTTTTAATTCAATTTTATCCTTTTCATCATAGTGATTAAAATTAATAATAATCATATGGTTTTTTTCACCTCGTCTTGTTAACTCAATGGTTAACCAATTTGATTTAGGAAGAATAGTTTGACGAACATGACCAACACGAAAAACATCTATTTGTGTAAGTTGTATTATTTCACGAAGACGAGTACGTTGGTTTTCTGAAAATTGATTGTCTTGACGTTCAATATCAATAGCAATAGAACCATTATGAAATAAACATGCAGCAAAAAAAGCTTCATTTAATGTAGAATTTGATGATAAAGATGACCAAAGAAATGGTTGTTTGTTTTTAAAAAATATTGAATTATAGTACTCTTTAAACAATAATGTTAGATTCGTTTTATTTTCATTAACTAATATATAATTATTTAATGAAGCTAATTGTACACCACCTAAATATTTATTTTTATCACCATAATAACGTGTTAATAATTGTTCATTAGATGTAGCTAATGAATCAATTTTATCAAGAAGTAAGATTTTATCCTTGTCGATTTCAGCTCTAATACGTGCAAGTAAAAGATAATCTTCATCGAGATGTCTCAATCGACTACTATTATCATTTGTTTCATTTTTATATTCATAATCTTCATATGCAAAACTAATACCTTGTAAATTAAATCCATCGATATGAAAATTTTTATCCCAAAAAGAAAATGAATCAATCATATCATTAAAAACACGATTATTTCGATAATTAATATCAATTGAATCATTATCATTATTAAATTGATGTAAATAAAATGAATTTTTTCTATCATTATAAGTCCATGCTGATTGTTGATTATCATTAATTGTTTTCCAATTATTTGTACTACCTTGATCATTCCATACAAAATAAGAATCATCATTTGAAGTAAAATAATTTGATTGAATAGATAGATGATTTAATGGATAATCAACAAGTATTTGAATACCATTTTCATGTGCTTTACCAATAAGACCAGTTAAATCACTTACATTACCCAAACTACTATCAACACGTTTCCATTCAAGTGGATTTAATTCATTTGATAATGGAAAAATTGGACTAAGCCAAAGAGCTTGTAGATCGAAATCCTTTTTGTAATCACTAATTTTTTCAGTTAAATTATTAAATTTCATTGTACGAGTTGACAAACGTAGAAATACACCATTTGTCCACCATGATGTTGCAGGTGCTTTTTCACAGCGTGGATAAAGTGCGATACAAATGACTATGAATATAAAATAAGCAGTTTGAAGTAGAATATAAATTAAAGCAGTAATTATTCGTGCTCGTTTAAGCCATGGTCTTGATGTTAATGGTGAAGTTGATGGTGAAGCTGATAGTACATTACTTGTAATTTGAAATTCACTATCAGGTTCCTCTGTACGACTTGCCTGAATCATTTAATCAATTGGTTGTTTTGATTGTCAATCTATTCGTTCCTCTAAAACGACATTCACAAGAAAATACAAAGCAAATATCAATGCTGTTTGTCAAGGCATGTAAAAATAAAGGATAATAAAAACGAAAAAGAATTCTTTTGAAGTTTTTGTCAATTTACAGATAAACGTTATCAACGAATAAGTCCATTAGATGAATTTATTATTTTGTTTACAGGTAACTATAAGTCAAATGTGTTGACTGAAATCTTTTCCACATGATTAAAGAAATTTTTTAATCAATAGATTTATAAAGAAATGTTTCAGATTAATCTTTACCTAAGAATATATGTTTATTTGAAAAACAAAAGATAATGACGCAATGTTGTCTCTCTTTTCCTTCTATATATATATATATACATATGTAAACTTCGTCTTCACTAGTAAATTTAATATTAAATAAAATTTTAGTGATTGGTCGAAAGGTTAACTTGAATTTACTACATTTTTAAAAGACGATTGAAGTCTAATACACCAATCGAGAAAAAACTTGATCCATTAAATAAAATAGTGAATACAGCTCGATGGATTCATATTATAAACATGGGCAGCAACAAATGCTAAACATAAATACACTTCAAATTACATCAAAATAAAGAAAGAAAAATAATGATGAAGAAAATAATTTTTAAGAAATTTCTTTTTTTTTTTTTGGCGTCGTATATTATCAAAACAATAAATCCAGGTGTAACAAATTACGAAATTGATTGATGTATATTATTGAGTCAAGACCGAAACGTCAATTCGCTTTGTGAGACATGATAGAATCACTCATTTTTATTCGTGGTAAGTTTTCAGTTTTAATGGATGGATTAAAATAACGAATATCCAAGTCAAATAGGTACATCATAAACGACTATATACATGGTTCAGTGTTATGCTCGTATATATCTGTCTTGGACAGGGAGAAAGAAAAGACGCTCGTTTACTCGCTTCGCGCACAGCAGTCATTATACTGTGTCTAATTTGCTTTTTATACGGTCACGGTCGTAGACAATAGTAACATTGAGCCATTTGATACAGCTATACACAGACAAATATGGTGACTTAAAGAGAAAAAAAAAGGCACGCTCACTTGGTTGTATACACGACAGTCGTATTCGATCTTCATTATGTTTCGTATGCGGTCAAGGGTATATAAAATTGTATTACTGAGCCATTCAATATGGTCGTATATTAAGAAATGCAGCTATTTAAGGAGAAAAAAATCGCTTGTTTACTCGTTTCGTACACGCAATCCTACGCGGCCTCTGTTTCACTCCGTATATAATCGTATTGCTCTGTATATGATCATCGAGACATACGAATCTAGAACTGAGAATCCTACAACAGAATCTTGTAGAATCGCTGCAGATAGATTATAGAATTCGATAACTTCCAATCGGAAGTTATAGAAAAAATTCTAGCCATATGATTCGGAGCGGCATCAGTTGAATTATACTACTGGAAAATGTCGAATAAACCTGGAACTCAGTAGGGTCTGATAAACCATGTAGTATTTACATTTAAACACCAGATACTATAAGACTTCTTCTTTATTATCATCCCCCTCTCTATATCACGTGCAGTCATTGACAAAAATAAACAACATAAAATCCATAATACTTTTACTTCTTATCACATTCAATTGTTGAATAATCAATCTAAACAAAAATTAAATGCATAGCAGTAGCATCAGGGCTTTTTGCTAAGGGAAAAGTTGGGTCACCTCTGTTCTATAGTACCGTCAGTGAAAAAACACAGACAATTGTATTTTTTTAAAGTTTATTATGCAATATGTATGAAAATGGAATATATTTCTTTTTTCTACTTATTTTCAAATAAAAACACTTAATGTTTAACTTCAAAGAGAATTAAAAAACAAAGTGAATAAAAAAGAGAAAAATGAAAACAATTTACCTCAAAAAAACAGGATTTTATTATTGAATAACATAAGAGTGTCGTTTCGAATTCAACAACATCTATTAGATTAGAATAGTTCAAAATGATGTTATTATTGTTGCACTATGATAATCACATTTAAATCTATTTTGATGAAGCGTATATTTTTTCTGTCAGATTTACATCTATTTTATTCATCAAAATAGAGAACGACGCTGCTTCGTCACAAAATTATTATAATAAGATTATAATATTGCTTAATAATTGCCAAAAATAAAACTAGATAGTTTAAAACCATTGGATTTCGTCGCATTCGATAAGTTTCTACTCTTGCATATAATCGGATCCTGTCGACAGGATCCAGTGGTATCCGACAATTAGAAACTGAAGCATATTGATGGTTTCCAATAGTCGACATCGAATCAGATCCAGCTATCAAAAAAAAAATCAGCAAAAAATTTCTCCAGTTATTACGGAGCGGCCATGTTACACCGCTACCACTGCTTCAAGGCTTACGGCAGTTTTTGCGTCGTTCACGCCTCTTTTTTTTTAAGACGTGTCGCATGTCTTCGTATAACATATATGACCAATTCATGGAAAAGAACCCATATTATCGAGACGAATTTCAATGACATTGGTTAAAACATTGAATGCATGAGATGACTCTTTGAAAATTGTACGATTATGAAAACTTTGACGAATAAGACCTAAGAAAAAAAATAATAAACTGTTATTATATGCAATGATTCTACTAAATAATAAAGATATCAGTATTATTCCGGTAAACAAATGAAGTAAAATAAAATGAAAAGGAACCTATAGCATCGTACCATATAATAGGATGGCTTATTTCCAGTGATATAGTCTAAGAATATAACAGTTCATCATCATCATCATCATTTCGAGAGTATTAGCAAGGAAATCATGATTAGATATGTACGGATACTGCGTTCAAACTTGTCGATTTCTGTGCATGCTTAGTCATAATCAATTTCGATATCACTAGTTACTCATAAATCATGTAAAACCAGTCATCACCTTAGGATTTTCATATCCTCACAACGTTTCCCAGTCCATCAGTCATCATTACATGCTTAATTAAAATCGATCAAACTGATATTCATATTGCTCTGTCTTATTTATTTAAAATCAACAAACAAAGTCAAAATTAACAATTGAAATACTCATCACTTAACAATCGACTCTTTTTTTCATCAGCTTGTCACAGATATTGAATTTTCTAGGCTTTATTCTTTTTGTTTTTCGAAATGCTCAATGACGAATATATTTCGTATTTTTGCTTCTCTTGTTACTGATTGGATTATTTCAAGATTTTTCTACACAACAAAACATACGTTGTCTGTAGTTATAAGGTTTGCAATTTTATAATGTATGTAATAATACCTTGTTCTGCTTAAAACATTCAGAATTTGGAAGAGCTAATGAAAAGTAAATTACTCTTTATCGTCAATTTTATTAATGTCAAACTTCCAGTTGAACGAACATCTGTTGTATATGATGCTGCCTTTCCTATAACATTAGAGACATGCATATATATTTGTAATTCTTTTAATTCTATTGCTAAAATTATTCGAGCTGCTTTACATGATTGTTTTTAATTTGTTGTATTAATTATTGTTAGAGCTATTGGTCGTGTTATTTTATTTGATGATGAAATTCTCATCGATGAATCTTTAGCACTTAAGAAAAGTTGACGAGCTAATGAGCAATTATAACATATTTTAGGAAATGCTAAAATATTTGATCATTGTCTGATACCATATTCAAATTGTTTTCTGATATTTGTCCAATAAGATACTAATTTTATACAATTTAATAGTTCACCAGCACATTTAATTAATCTATAACGTGTATGCGAAATCTCAGGTGAAACTTATTGTACACAACTGCTAATCTATTACGTATTTGTAATTATCTTGAACGGATGTCTTCAAATAAATATATTTTTATTCATCAGAAAATAAATGGAAAACATTGAATTTAAATTTTTCTATACAAAATGAAAAACTGAAAGCATTTAATATATTTTCAATAATTAATTCGAGAGCATTTTCAATTGTTGTTGTTGATGATGATGGTGGTATATAATCCGGTATGCACGTTAGGATGAAAATACGACCTCAACAGTTGAAAAACGAGGTTCGCATTTTATTCAATGACTTGATAACATGTGAAACAAGGAGCTGATAGTTGAAGAATAAGACTAACAACAACATCATACATACGATGTGTTCAGTGAAGTTTTATAGTGCAATATGACTGAGAAAAGACACAATTTATAAGTTCAAAATAGTCGATATTTGATAGAGTGAGATGTGAACGTAGGTGTAGAGTCGAATAATCGAAAGAATTACACGAATGACCACACTCACATCTTGCCATCTATAGATAGTTCTCGGATCATCAATACTATGGGTGAACCATGGACTCATGGACGCAAATTTATTTGTTTCAGTCTGCATTTAGTTTACTTTTGACGACCTTGTCTGTCTTCGTAAAGGTCGTTGTCGATTTGTCTTTCTGATTGTGAATACGACAATGTCATTATCACAACCAACTGTATTTACTAAAAATATTTGCATTCGACCTGTATCGTCTATGATCATTGATGACGAGTATAAAATAATTTCATTCAGAAACATCTCTAATTTGTTTTTATTCAGAATTAGAAAGATTAGTGTCACAGTTGATTTTCACGCTACAAACCTTCTAACTGTGAATTTATCATCTATGTGTAGCGCTACTTTTATTTACGATCGTTTAAAATTTAGAAATTCATTAATAAATATACCGATAATGATGGTTCATAGTTGTACTATATACTTTATTTGAATGCAGATAATTTTGACAACTAGATAACAAAGTTTACCAGATATGAGATATGACTTGATTTTTGGTAGGTGTGAAACACGGGCAACAAATTATGGACAAGAGAAAAACTAATTTTGCAGTACTGGTTGTAGCAATTGACTCTTGCAGACAGCTAAAAGCCTGGATTAATTCGTAAATCTATTAATTAATCATGTTTTGCAAAATCGTACTTTCGATATTTTTTCTGAGTT